TCGCATTGAAGTTTCACCACATTCATCTCATAGTTGGAATTTCAAAACAGCACAATACATATTTCCACGAACACTTTGATCAGCAGCCAACTAAATCCTATATGTACATACTCTATCCCACACACAGAAAGAATTTTCCAACACGGCCTCATCTGTGGTTGTGCTTCAACCTATACGATGCTGGAATAGCTCTGTCCATGATTTGTTAAGAGCACTCTTTTTTTCGTTGACATCAACCACGTTTTAATCGCCGAAACTATCAACGACAGTAGCGATGGACAATGGTCACCATGAACTTCTTCAAAAGAATGGTGATGAGTTTAGCTGCTGATTTCTGCAAGTCATACGGTAGCGCAAACGAAGGCTGACTAGTGCAACCTCGAGCGTTCCATTTGTAGGCGTGTGAACAGTGAATAAATCACTAGCAGTAGCTGGGAAACTGTAATGTAGTGTGCATTGAGTGACGACAACTATCGCACGACGCTCTGCAGCAATTATTTTCATTGCCTTTCAATGACCATCATTGAGTGTCACTGACCGAAATCACATTAGCCACCTCATGGATACGATGGTAGCCAAGTGCAAGCTTGCCTTTTTGAGGCACTTATTCGGTTCATGACTCCCAGTTTCAAGGTAATTCCTTTGCCGCATGTCTAATAGAACAAATTGCAGGGATCCTTCAAGGCCATTGGAAAGCATTGCAAGTATTGTCACTGAATACAGTGTGGCCAGCTTGCTTGGAATTAGGAATTAATTCCGTATCTGTGAGGTTTGTGTTCTTCTTAATTTCTAATAGTACAGTTGAAGTCAGCAGAATGACTAGGAAGTGATTAAATAATTTCACTTGCACAAAAACACAGTACTCCTCGTAAGGATACATCCGAACATGAATTTTACAAAAACTCACATATCAAAATCTTTCGGAAAAAAACGCTGATGGAGAATGTTTCATTTTCTATAATCTGAATTTTTCTGCAAATTCAAACCTGGGTATGTACACTCTAGAAGAAGTCGCTTTGGTTATTTTTGGACACCTCGGAAATCAAAAAATAAGATTAAGGTGAGAAGCAAGTTGGTGGATGAGAAGTATTATAGAGGGCGTATCCACTGTGAAATAGGCCTTCTATAAGCGCGATTTCAGTAGACGGTGCTTAAAGGCAAAAGTCGGGCTCAATAAGGGGGTATTATGG